CCCCCCCCCCCTATAGCTACGGCCCTGGCAACTATGAATTGTCACTGTGTGCGAGGAAGTCATGCACGCTCGCCCTCGTATGTAATCGTTTGATCATACCATTCATTCTTCACGCAAACATTGTTAAAGACAGTATAAGTACACAGCGTTATGTCTCAATCAATTCCATGGTTGCCCTTCCCCCCTGGCGTTTGTCGGGCATTCTCAACTGTACTTGTTCCCAGGGTATTGCTTTTGCTTTCTGCAGGTTAGCCCCGGGGTGGGGAATTTGCTCGAGGCTAGAAAGTCGAATATTTATCGCTTGTTTCGCCATTTAGCCGTACTTTAGTACGCATGTTTACACGAGCGTGCGTATCGCAAATTAATCATAGCGGACATACACAAGACTTTTTTCTTGTCCATCCTGTTGATACATTGACTTACTTCTGCAGTTTGATATTGCTATATAAAGTTTTGAGACTTCAATATTTTAATTAAAAACGTTTTAAAACGAAATGACTATAGAATCGATTTTAATTAGATATATTGATACGCGATAGAGCTTGGATTCGATTTTTTGGATCAGAAATCCTCAGAAAACTTATATTTTGTCCCCCAAGGGTGGGGCATTTGCGTCAATGTAAGTCCCCAAGGGTGTGGATTTTGTTGCATTATTTGGACCCCATACTGAGGCTTTTGCAACGTTTTTTCGCCAAAATGACAAAAGCCCGACAAACGCCCGGGGGGGGGGTGTTGGGCACCCATGGAATTGATTGAGACATTAACAAGTCAAAATAACTTCTGCTTCAGTTGCAGTTTGCCAGATATTAAGTTTGGAAGAACGGCAATTGTGTATGTCCACTCTGGATTTTTCAAAAATACAACATCAACTTCATCATCGTCTTTGTCAAATGACTGTACTTCTGCCTCATGCCAACCTATACAAAACAATAATTTTGTACGAAACAAGATTAATTAATTGTGGTGTTTTGTCAAATAATAAACGTATTGCTTACTCTTGTACTGAATGCTGCCACACTTAATTCTAATGGAAAACATCAGCCTTGTACAACTAACCTATAATCCAGATAAATGAAAAATGTCCTTTCAGTTTAACTCGGGTGGCAACCAGGCGAGTGTTTTTTAGCTTTTAATTTTGAAACTTGAGCAACATCCCAAGTTGAGCAACATCCAAGACAACATAGAGCATCTAGGCCCTTTTTCATATTTACATGAGAGAATATGCATGCTAAAATTTAAAAACTGAAAGTTATTGGAAATAGTTTATATCTTACCAACTAGCCAGTTTGTGTCGATTAGATCTTCTTTTGACCAGCTCACTTCAACTGTTGCTCCAATTTGAAATATTTCTTGATAATGATCTATTTTCTTTTGCGTATCTTTGGCTAGCTTTAGCCTGTTTGCATCTACTTCTTTTTCAACATTATAGTCATACGTCTCTCCTTTCTCTTTATCGAATTCCAGCTGAATAACATCTGTACCTTCGTTGTAGGATACCACTTTTGCTCTGTACCAACCTGTTAAATAAATTTCTCATTTTATATATATTACTTACCATTCTGACCAGTACAATATGTATTACAATATTTTCTCTATATATTTAATGTATCAGGGTCTCACCAGATTTCCACCCAGTATCGCCAATCTCTTCTTTACTCCACCATGCTAGCACTTTGGTATTAACTGACCTGATGGCTTTGATGCTTGCCTGTACATGTGAGTTTTCTTCACTTTTGCAATGCTTAATTATAGTACTTTTATCATACAATACAATCTCCAATTCCATAGGATGCAGAACGTTGTCAAGTGTTTCCATGGTTATATCAGCAGGAAGCTGAATAAATGCTTTCGTTTTCGTGCTGAAAATCGACGCACTATCCCTTGGGCGTGATGCGCTAACAGTCGGACATGAACGAGTAGAAAATGTTCTTGTTTTATGTATAACCTTCGGATCTAGCAAGTACAGTCGTTTTTGGTGGTATATCAAAGTTTTGGTTGCTGTTATAAGGTTCCTCACTGCAAACACTTCCCTTTGGAAGGCAAGTCTCCCCTTTCCAGCTACAAGCATTCCAACTCTAACGACGAGTTCATCTTTCGTCCCACAATCAAGTAAATTGTGGTAGCGAAGAATTTCTCGTAGTTTGTAGACTGACATGCGTGAAAGTTCCGTAATTGATTCTGGGATTAACTCTAAGTGTCCATCATACCTTTCTAGTGTTGCTGGAAGAGGGAGACCCAATTTCTCAGCCACTCGCTTCACTAGTTCATGTTTTTTACCTTCTGGCGAAAGGTTGTGCTGCTGGCATAGACGTTTTAATCCTGCTTTATCGTTAGTCTTGTACAAGTCATGTTGCCTCCAGTAATCGCGTTCTTTGTCGTTTTCAAACGCTTTATCAAGTTTTTCAGAATATGTTTTGAAGTATTGTCTCACTTCGTCTTCAGTACACCAACACAGAAGAGCTATGCACTGTATTATGTTTTCTACATCATATTTAAACACCTTGTACGCGATGTCTAACACGGTTGATGGAAGATATATTCCGGGTGTTGCGTCAACCACTTCTGTTTGTAGAGATATGACTTTTTCTAGTGGCAGATAATGCAGTTCTCCACCTGTATTGTACCATCTTACGTAATCAGGAATTGGCTGCGAAGTTAAACTTTCTATGTGCTCTTGAGCAATATCGATATCGCGGTTTAATATTGTTGTTGAATACTTATCAGCCCAACAAGTGTGTTCTCCCTCCTCATTCAACGTGTTCTCAAGGGTCTGATAGTCCTCACGATAACATCCTACGAAATCTGCGTTCAAGTTCCATATCAACGCTACCTCCTGCCAAAGTTTGTTTTGTTTTGGATAGTAATGGCCGTCGTCCTCATTCTTTAGCCGTTCACTTCGTCCTAAGAAGTTTACAAGTTGTTCTTCGTCGTCAAATACAAACTTTTCATTGAAGCCAATTCCGCGCAGAGTTACTATTGGTCTTCCGCCGTATTGAGCCCTTTCCAAACATTGCTGAACTTCTCTTGCCATGTACTCCATGTTGTCTAAATGTTGCTTACTACCTATCTGGTAATCTTTATGTACACCTTTACTTGGGAAAACTTTATTCGATAACGCACGGTTTTCGACAGCGTGAACTCTTTCTACGGGATTGCGCTTGCTGTGATATTTCGCAAACGATTTTTGCGTAATTGATTTCAGCTGTAGAATCCGAGCTAAGCGAACCAACCACATTTTAACCAACGAGTTTGAGGGAGCTTCAGATGGACCATTGTCTACAATAAAAATGAAATGTTCCTTTAATTTTCCTGTGTCAGAATTTCGAAAGTATTCGTCGAGTGCTGGATTACTCAAAAGTAAAAATATTTCGTTGAAAACTCTTTGGACCGTTTCCGGTTCGAAATAAGCAAGGTTGAGTAAAATGGCAGCTGCACCGCTTCGTTTAACTGAGTAATAATAATCTTCATCACTCTCTTCTTCGAACTGCAACTCCGTTTCCATAAACAAGTGAGTCATAGGGGTAATAGCGTTGTGTGCCAAACCACTCCAGTCATGATCTGGGAGGGTTATTTTGCGCCTCGTTCTTCCGGGTTTTTGAACGGGAGAAACGTCTGCATGTACTTTTGCCTTCGCGTCTTTAGAGTCTATCATAACATTCTGTGAATGTAAATAGGCATAGTCCATTGAAAGGTTGACGTTATGTGTTGACCATCGAAGGTTTATTACAAATTTTTCGGCACCGATACGTGGTGGCTTGTGGAGAGATAGGCATGCATTAATTCCCTTTCCGGAGTGGTGCCTCTTAGCTTGGTATGTTCCTTCCTTATAATTCTGCGTGTAATTGAAACACGAGGAGAGACTGATGTTGAATTCTTTCGGTGCCAATGCCAAAATGGTTTCTCTTGCATGCTTCATTATTGTGTTGCTGTCTGCTGAACGGTACAGTACAGTATCAGTAAGTCGAGGGTGGCTTTCCAGGCCACCACCTCCTCTTTCTATTCGATCAGATTCACCAAATGCAAACTCTAAAACAGCAGATAAATCTGGGAATTCCTCGCATTTGAGCATTCGTCCCCTGCCTTCAAATGTGTGACGGAGTTTTTCAAGTTTCATCTTCTGTAATAGCCTATGCTTCTTTCTTCTTTCAGCCTCACCAGTTACAGTCATGTCGGCATTCTGTTCCAGATCTTTCTTCATTTCTTTAAACAACTGAAGATTTAGATCCACTTGATGTTTTGATCGTTGAAAACTACGTTTATCTGAAACGTCGGCCAGCTTTGCCATAAAATTTGCACTTGTTATCTTTGTAAGGATAGCTTTCAAAGTGTCCCTATCCCGTTTACTGTCGAGATATTCGCATATGATATCAAAGTCACTGCCAATAACCTTTTCAACTTTTTCGTTAATTGTATTTTGATCAACGTTATGAATGTTTTCCATGCTTTTTAATACATCTAGTAACTCCTTTCCTCTATTTTCTATGATGTAACCTTTACCGTTCATGTATATTTGAGCAACGTTTAAATGTTTTGCCATTATCCCAAGTAACGTTGACGACACAACACGTTGCACAACATCAATTCCTTTTAATTCTTTATAAATTTTTGCGAGATCTTGCGTTGGAACTATAGGTCCGTTTTCAATGATATAATTCGCTATACTAATCATTGATGCTAAATGTTTTTGTTGCTTTTCTGAGCCTGCTTCGCTCAGCTTTTTAAAAAGAGCTTCGACGTTTTGTTTTAGGTTTCCGGTGGCTGAACCACGTACTATGTATTGACATTCATTAATATCCTCGTCAAAACTGCTATTTGCTCTCTCTTCTGACCGAGAAACATTTGTAAGGGCGTTAACTCCTTTTTCTTGGTACCATTCTATTCCTGGTCCAGACAACGGAAGCAGTTTTTTGGGTTCTTTTGTATCCTTTCCTGACCGTGCTTGAACATTTTCAGCAAATCTTTCTGCATTCTCTTCAAATGTAGCATCAGCTGTACCGGTTTTAAAGTGTGACAAGAATCTTGCGGTAGTACAACTTTCGGCAACTGATGTTGCTGGTTTATTTGGTGAGTGTGCTATCTCGTTTTTTGAACCTCGGATTCGCTTGATTTGCTTTGGCCTAGAAAACATATCATACGTCGCAGAAATTCCTGCTTTTTCACATGATGTGTTACTTAACTTTGGTGTATGAATGGATCTTTTCCCTTCGACTTCATCTCCTTTTTGAACTTTTGCTGATTTTAAGTTTGATGTTTCACGTGTGGGTTGGTCAATGGTAGAGGATTGTTGACTATAACGTGGATGTTTGGGACGTGTTGGAAATTCATTTGGTTTAGTGGTCTTCGAGGTTGTCTTGGTTTGGCCAGTAGTCGGGAACTGTTGACAATTGGGTTGATGTGAAGGACGTGATGAAAATTCATTTGGTTTAGTGGTCTTCGAGGTTGTCTTGGGTTGGCCAGTGGTAGGGAACTGTTGGCGATGGGGTTGATCTGAAGGACGTGATGAAAATTCATTTGGTTTAGTGGTCTTCGAGGTTGTCTTGGGTTGGTCAGTCGTAGGGAACTGTTCACGATATGGTTGATGTGAAGGACATGATGGAAATTCATTTGGTTTAGTGGTCTTCGAGGTTGTCTTGGTTTGGCCAGTCGTAGGGAACTGTTGACGATTGGGTTGATGTAAAGGACGTGATGGAAATTTATTTGGTTTAGTGGTCTTCGAGGTTGTCTTGGGTTGGCCAGTGGTAAAGAACTGTTGACGATGGGGTTGATCTGAAGGACGTGATGAAAATTCATTTGGTTTAGTGGTCTTCGAGGTTGTCTTGGGTTGGTCAGTCGTAGGGAACTGTTGGCGATATGGTTGATGTGAAGGACATGATGGAAATTTATTTGGTTTAGTGGTCTTCGAGGTTGTCTTGGGTTGGCCAGTGGTAGAGAACTGTTGACGATGGGGTTGATCTGAAGGACGTGATGGAAATTTATTTGGTTTAGTGGTCTTCGAGGTTGTCTTGGGTTGGTCAGTCGTAGGGAACTGTTGGCGATATGGTTGATGTGAAGGACATGATGGAAATTTATTTGGTTTAGTGGTCTTCGAGGTTGTCTTGGGTTGGCCAGTGGTAGAGAACTGTTGACGATGGGGTTGATCTGAAGGACGTGATGGAAATTTATTTGGTTTAGTGGTCTTCGAGGTTGTCTTGGGTTGGTCAGTCGTAGGGAACTGTTGGCGATATGGTTGATGTGAAGGACATGATGGAAATTTATTTGGTTTAGTGGTCTTCGAGGTTGTCTTGGGTTGGCCAGTGGTAGAGAACTGTTGACGATGGGGTTGATCTGAAGGACGTGATGGAAATTTATTTGGTTTAGTGGTCTTCGAGGTTGTCTTGGGTTGGTCAGTCGTAGGGAACTGTTGGCGATATGGTTGATGTGAAGGACATGATGGAAATTTATTTGGTTTAGTGGTCTTCGAGGTTGTCTTGGGTTGGCCAGTGGTAGAGAACTGTTGACGATGGGGTTGATCTGAAGGACGTGATGGAAATTTATTTGGTTTAGTGGTCTTCGAGGTTGTCTTGGGTTGGTCAGTCGTAGGGAACTGTTGGCGATATGGTTGATGTGAAGGACATGATGGAAATTGGAATAGCCAGATGCATGAGCCATCTCGGGAATCTGTGGATGAGCAGCATAAAATTCAGAGTGGGCAAATAACTCTGCTACTGTTAGCAAACGCAAAATGACATTCAAGGTTTCATTACCAACCAAGAGGATTGACACAGAGTTAAAAAGACAATTACCATTAGCATTTGCCCTTAACGGTTTCCATGTTTCAAATCCTTCTGGTAGCAAATCTTCTGTAACATGATCTGCTTGTCGGTTATATACATTTGGATGTGGAATTCTGTCGTCGATGTAAGACTGGGTGAGCAAAGGCAAAAAATTGTCAATGATTTCACGTGCAGCTTCCTTCGTGGTTAAAGTCTTTCGAATGTCCGCGATTTGGATATCACTGATGAAAGCCATGACACGATTGCTAAAAAGGTGTAAAACATGTCAAGTGTTTGTTTTAGTTGGTTATAAGCGAGAGGCAAATCGCTCCTGCAAAGTGTACAAGATCATACAATGCCAATGGTATGATTTTTTTGTGATTTCTTTATTTTTTCGTGATTTTTCTGAAGGTGTACGTAGTAAACTTTAATTAGTTCAAATTTGTGCGGATTTCTATTGTTCTCAATAGGGTTTTATTTGGGTAAGAATCTGAAAGCAAGGGGAGGGATTTGATATGTCCCAGGGAAAAGCGGGGTTGATAAATAAAATTGAATTGGATTGACGATTAAATATACACCGGGTTTTATCTATATAAACCCCGGATTTTTGCGGGTTATATATATATATATAAAACCCGCAAAAATCAGGTTTTATATACTTAGATAAAACCTGGTGAATATTTAATCATCAATTCAATTGAATTCTATTCATCAACCCCCCTTTTCCCTATAGAGATGTCAAATTCCCTCCACTTGCTTTTAGATTCTTACCCAAATAAAACCCTATTGAAAACAAATTTAGAATCTTTGCTTCGACAAACCCATACACATATTGTTCGTTATAGCGCTTCTACCTTCGGCCCACTCTTTCCAAATACGATCGAACTGCCCAGATGGTGTTGTGTCTTGTGCCTACAGTATATTCGGTATACGCTCAATACGCGTTTTTCAAGACTCTTCGTTTATCTCTGTCTAGTTTGAGCACTGCAAATCCCAATGGTTCGTCATTTGCTTGCAAAAATTCTCTTTCCATAAGCCTACATTTTCATCTGATTCCGGTTGCCTGGAAGCATTCTTTTCGTCGCTACATAGGTAGTTCACGTTTCAATCTCATTTTCATATGGACCCCATGGTAACAATCGTTATTCTCTTAATTCAATGCAAGTATTTTCGACAAAAAAGTAGATTTAATTGTTTTTCAATCCTTACAAATTTGAACTAAGTCAGTTAATTACCTCGAACGTCGGTTTCTTAGCGAGATACATCCCTCGGGAGCGTTGCCCTCAGAAAGCATCCCTCGGGCCTACGGCCCTCGGGATGCTTTCTTCGGGACACGCCCCTCGGGTTGTATCTCGCTAAGAAACCTCGTTCTCGGTAATTAACTCTTACTTAAAACAACAACAACCTTGGTAGACAACCAGTAGGGCCACTTCCCTAAGTGGGAATTATTTAAGCTAGGTCCCAGGTGTCTTTCGCGGCCAAAATCATTACTCTGTAATACAATTTTATAGTGAACTGCTGCCGTTTACTGGCTGCCGATATGTAAATTAGGTTGGCAGCCAGGAAACAATGTGGACACTTTTTTACACTGAGTGGTCCTACTGTAGTTTTCTTATACTGTGCTCGTATATTCAAACTATATACAATTCAAATTCAATACGTTTATTGTTTGCTTTGATCGAATCCCTGGAGTATATATATTACACTGTAATATGTTAAGAATGTACAGTAATAATTACGCAAGGTAGTGCGTAGTGGATTGCTGAAATGGCGCTGCTGGGAAGTTAAATGTTTAATATCGGATTAAAAGGTACCGCTGCCCCATGCATGGCCGTGGTAAATTTCTATGTCATCAGTCAAATCATAGCCTTTTGTCGCGTTGAATAATTGAAATATTTTTTACCAAACGAAATTTGTGAACGCGAGAAGTTGGCATTTTAGCTGTACAGGGTATATAAAAAAAAAACTGAACAGATTTGAAATTGCTTTCAATTTCGCAATACAGCTCGTGTTATCAAGCTTTTGTTATATATAGATTCCTTGAGTACCCATAATGTAGAATAATGGAAAAAAATACTCGACTCAAATTTTGTAAACCGGGGGCTGGGTGTTTCTTTTCTAACAAACTAAAAATGGCTTGCACCAGTGGCGGCGGAACCGGGCGGCTAGGGGGGCTTTAGCCCCCCCCCCCAGAAGTAAAAGTTGGGGGGGGGCTAAAGCCCACCAAAATACATAAAGAGTGCCAGAATGCGAGACCATTTATACAAACCTCGAAGTCTTTAAATTACTGCTCGCCGGCTAAAATGCAAACGAAAATATCCTACTTTGTGATCAAGTGAATGCAAATTGATTTTCTTTCACCCTGAGTATATCTTTTACTATTTTACTATACAGTAAATACTACAAAGTCAGAGTATTGGCCTTTGTGGTTATTTAGGAAATGGGACAAATAAAAGTTAAGTGAAGAAATTTCGGACTTTCCTAATGAGTGATTCCAGCTATACTTACGAAATTTCGATCAAAGCACGAAGAACGAAATCCAACACCACAGTTTGAAATATTCGAAAGAGCGTCTTAGAATGAGTAAAACTGCAAAGATTGGATGCTAAATGTTGTAAAATGAAGAAAATATAGCCCTGTGAAGTTCACAAATTTTGTATATATTTGTATTACGCGCTATAAGATAACCACTTTCGGCTCAAAAATGGTTATTTTTCCAGCGCGTAATGCAAATAGAGTATATACAAAATTTGCGAACTTCACAGGGCTATATATTTTCCTCATTTTACAACAATTCCCAACCAAACTATGCATTTTTACTCATGCTCTAGTCTTTCCAGCTATGGTAATGGTTTCGTTCTTCTTGTCTTGATTAAAATTTCGTCTATAGCTGGAATCATCCAATGATTCTAACCCACGATTTCAAATAGAACATAGAATAAGAACTTCTGATGCAAGCATTGCATTTATCTTGTGTTTGTGCTCTTTGTGTCAAAGCGAGAGCATGGGCTATGGAGTACAATTGTATTTCTGGTTTGGTTAACATTTTTAAATCATTAAAATGCTTACAGTAATATTATGTTTTATGTCCAGAGTCAGCCAAAATTTATGTGCTGAGTGCACTGATATCGTATAGTGATCTTTTCAAGCTTTTTGCCGCTTATAATTGGCGTTAACTTGCTTCGATTGCTCATTAATTCGTCATTGAGTTATGAGATCAAATGATCTATGCATAATTGCCAGTGTGACCAGGTTTTTTCAGGGGAAATTACCACATCCGGTTTCATAAATTACTATATTCGGTCTAAAATTACCACGGTGCCATATTTTTCCCATTTTTCCATATATTTTTCAAAAAAAATGCCCATATTTTTTCAAAAAAATGTTGGGGGGGGGGGTGGACGGTGGCAAAAAAATTTTTTGGACACCAAAATTTTTTCGGAGAAACTTCTCATAAATTAGGGTTCAAAAAAAATTTTCCGGACAAATAACAAGTAAAACATGGCCAAAACCAGTTTTTTTTCACCAAAATCTGCAAAATTTAGGGGGTTTTTCCAACCAAATCTGTACAATTAAGGTCTGGAAATTTCAAATTACTACAATCAGCCAAAATGACGAAAAATTACCACGATCGTTCTGAAATTACCGTAGTAATTACCACAAATTTCCAATTACCACAATCCTCCAAAAATGACGAAAAATTACCACGGTAGTAATGAAATTACCACATCTGGTCACACTGATAATTGCATATTCGTATTTTTGTGGATTTTGAACAATTTCAAAGGTAGGAGAAATCACTACACGCTATGCCGTTTGCGGTTTGTGTTTCCACTTAGTCAAAAACTGCGGTAAACTTTTTTTTTATTTATCCCCCCCCCGCCACAAAAAAAATATGTTCCGCGCTCTTGGCTTGCACACGAAATTTAAAAGCTTTAATCGTATTTTGAGTTGATGGTAGAAAATTTGTTGGGTTTTCAACCAACACCAATGCCTTTATCTAAGGGGCGGACCATTAGAAAAGTGATGGGGGGGGTGGTCCATTTTCAACGTGCACGATTTTTTTTCAAAATGTTTTGCTTTGTCGGGGCTAAATAAAATCACTTTTCTAATGGTCCGCCCCTAATTTGCATATTGCTGCAATATGCATATTATAGGCAAATGCATTAATTAAGCATGAAAAAGGCTTTTTTAGATCTTTTTAGGAAAAAATGTAAGTTTGCGTGAATAGTTAAAGGGCTGAAACTGAAGCAAATTGTCTGAAATTTCGTGCAGCAATTAAACACCCAACACATTTCTCACCCATTAACTCATAATACGATTAAAACTTTTAAATCTCGTGCGCAAGCTATTTTTAGTTTGTTGGAAAAGACCCTTCCTCTTGGTTTACAAAATTTGAGTTCGAGAAATTTTTTTCATTATTATATTTTACATTATAAGTACTTAGGATATTAATAGCTGTTTTGTGAATTTTTTTTATACACCCTGTATAACTACTGTAGCAGTAGGGCCTTTACTTACCCCTTTGAGAGGCAGACAGCAAGTCATAGTCCGCACTTTATATTTTGAAGTCTGAACTATATTCGAGCGAGACTTGGAGCAAGTCTGGAGGTACCGAAACATATAAATGCACTTTTGGTCAATTTACTTTTAATTATTACCTTTTACACAATGTCCTTTAATAAACTTTGAGAATTGCTTGTTTCGATCGTAATTTAAGCGAAGAAATTTAATATACCCAATGAGGTTGACAAGATGCAATACTCTGGATTGGAGAAAGAAAACCGGTTCGCTGTCATGCTTTCTGTAGAGTACAGGGGCGGCGGAACAGATTTCGTTCTGGGGGGGGGGCTAAATTTTTTCGGCGACCTCCCCCCCCCTCCCCCCGTCGCCAAAAAAATTTCGGTCAGTGTACCACTTTAGGAGTATAATATACAAAAAAAGGGACAAAAAAAATTTTTCCGGACTTATATCAAAAATTTTTTTCGGAAATACGCTTTTTTTAAACAAAATATTGCAAATTTGTCCCCTTATACCTAAATTTTCAAAAAATAACCTAAATTTTTCCCTAATTTTCAAAATTTTTTCGAAAAATTCAAATTTTCTGGGGGGGCTAAGCCCCCCCACTTTTACTTCTGGGGGGGCTTTAGCCCCCCTAGCCCCTCCTGTTCCGCCGCCCCTGGTAGAGTATAAAGGGGCCAATTTAGTGCTCTCATTTCCCATTACCTGGAATTCCTTAGATTGTCGATAAAATAT